GTAACCACCAGAATTTATTTATTTTTTTTTGCCTCTCTTTATTTCTTTTCATACATTATTATCGTTCTTGCATTCACGAACGAACAGATAATTATAAGTTTCACCAACCAACATACTTGCATTCATACCAGACTTGAATGTTCTAATTATTGATCAATAACCTCATTAATTGTTATGCGGTAATTTTTTTATCTTCATTACTAAGAATATAAACATTCCTTTTACATGCTAATTTTTAACTTAAGATAAATTGTACGTAAGGCCGTGGGACGATATAAAATTGAAAAAAAAATTCACTTATTCATTATTATTTTCATCGTGCTCTACCATGTTTACGAATAAATTTTCAAATTTTTTAAAAAATATATTCCCATATATTTGCTTGTAATTTTATATGCTGGACCAAACATAATGTTTTTTATTACGTAATTAAAAGAATAATTTTTTTAGCATGAATGAATAAATGTTACACAGCGACAATTTATATGCATATGTGTGCTAGCGCTTGTGCAAATATATTTGAAGGGAAATGATAATGGGCCAATATAACCGAGTATTTTTTTCTTTTTACGAATAGTCAATAAAATTTCAAATTCTCCAACAATTCTAAACTGTCCTTACATTATATTTGCATAAAATAGTTGAAACATTAAAAATGAACATTATTCACGAAGTCACACGTACAGATTAGTGATATTAACTAAAAGTAAAGATTTTTCAAACTATTTGAATCTCAGGAATTATAATATCTCTTAGGCCTATCCACCCACATCTATTTTGTAAAATTTTAAAATAATAACAATATCTCTGCTTATATACGCGATTATTATGTACTATGCAATTGCGTGCGAGAAAATAAGTGCGATAAATTTCGAATATAAATGCATTTATACTGCACGCAGTATAATCCATACCTAATTTTGTTTCAGCGTAAAACTTTAATAAATCACATTCTAAAGATTATGTACGTTAAATATGAGGCGGATATCTGATGTATTTGCTGCTGCGTCCACGCATTTAACCTACATTAGTCCCGGATCTCTCATTATAAATCCGTGATATGTATAATGAATAGGTTAGCTTGATTTAAATTGCAATTTCAATTTGTTAGATGTTGCGATGATGTTGGGAGTAATGCCGCATCGGTATAATTAAATATTCAATATTTGTACGGCTAATAACAGTTACATTGTAAAGCTGACGATCGCAACATCATCCAATACGATCCAATCGTATTGGAGTGATAGTAAGGCGAATCCAGTGCAATATTATTTACCTCCCATATGGACAGACAGCCATAAATACAATTATTCTCGTCAAAGGATGTGTTTTTTTGTTTTTTGTTTTTTAATTTCCGGATAAGGAAAGGCAAAATTGGATGAAAATATTAGATGGGCAAATGGCGAACCTCCGTGCGGTGGCTCGTAGATTGGCGCCTCGACGCCTCGTCTACAGATGCCCCGACAGCAGCGCTGATCCGAACCCAGAAACTGGCAGTCGGAATGCCTTTCGCAGATGATCCCAAGAAGGCGAGTCAAGGTGCTCGGGCGATTACTTGGACAGGCGATGAGCCTTTCTGGAGTTGAACTCGCCATACTCGCCGTCGTTATTCCTCGCAGCAAAGGTATCACTGAAACGTGAATTAGAATTTAATTAAGTTTGAGCGATTCTTCTTTCCTGATTCGACGAGATATAGCTGCACTGATCTCTCTCCTCCACCACGTTAAGTGTCGATAATCTTATCGATGCTTGCCCGGTACTTTGAGGGCTTTGCAAAATGGTCTGCAGTTGCAGTAGTAAATTGGCAGACTCGGGCAATGATCGTTCGCTTTCGTTATACTTCAAATTACAGGAACACCGGATTTACTTAATTAGATTTATGTTACTTGTTGGAGTTACTTGTGCGTTACGTAAAATACGTGGAGTAAAATGGGATGTTTAAAAAATTATTAGATTTTTAATTTTATTCAATCACTACAACCAAACGTATTCGTATGTATAAGATTGTATGTATGAAATTGAAAATAAAGAATTATTTTTAATTTTCACAATTGGCTTAATAATGTTGGACAACGAATTCAATATTTTACTATTTTAATATTTTAATACTTAATAATTCATTTAAATAATCATTGGTAATCGTAAATGAAGCCTGAGAAAATAAAAAGCGGTAATATTATAAACACGTAATAAATCTATATTGTGATTACTTGTTGCCATGTGCAATGTACGATTTGCGTAATCGTTGGTCTTTCCATTTTCAACAAATTGTCATTTTAAATATAAGGATTGGATAAAGAAAGCAACCTCGTTGAATTATCATAATATTATTTTTATGATATTATTGCACATGGCCTATCAACGTCATCTGCTTAGCTTCAGTGACAAAAATAACACAGACACGATACTTGCCTATTGAATTTGAACAGGTTCTGAAAAAAATAATCTAGCATTTTTATATGAAAATGTTCTAACTCCCCGATTAAAGATTCTGTTTAGTACTTTTTTCATTATAAATATTGAGTTTTTTTTGCATCTACATTAATTCATAAATTTGTTTACTTTATAACTTTACTTCGACTTTATAGTGCCTTACAAAGTGTTTGAACATTTATCGAGCAAACATGATCGATGCAAGCCTTAACAACGCATTACCTTATTACAAGTCTACAATTTTAATGACAAACGAAAATCAAGTATTTCACTATTACAATTCATCATATTTAATTATTTGAAATTTTTGATTTTCAAAGTATTCATACTTTAATGACTGTTATTCTTTGGAATTGTTTAAAATCAAAGTATTTTTCTATTGTTTCTGTCTCATGAGTCGTCAAACTTGAAAATTGGCTTTATCAGTATTTTTTTATGAAAATAGTATTTATTACAATATAACTAAAAAATAAGTTTTTTTTTCATTTAATAAATTAATATATACTGATATATCGATGTCGATATTTGTTTCGGCAATTTGCAGATTTTCATCTAAGAACACAAATTAAAATTTTCAATGATATTTATTAAACATTTTAAATGATATTCAAAAACCAATACGAATATGTATATTACATGTATAAAATATGTATAAATATGAATATATATATAAAATAATGTATTTATAAAATTTATAAAATCTAATGTGAAGTTCTAAGAAATCTAATTATAATAATACATTAAATCAATAAATACTAACTAAAATAGTTTCAAATTTTCTATATATTTATAATTCATATTATGAGTATAATTGATATATATATATATATATATATATATATATTGTAGCAAAAATTTTACATAGATTTATCTTACTATTTTCCGTTCCCTTGACTAAGTAGTACAAGTTCATTATGGAAAAGTTTCAAATAAAACAAAAAATCAAGATAGAAAAAACTTTTTGTACATATATGGTAATGTAGTGGAATATTATTTATTTAACTGGTTGTATCTTATTCCTGCATTTTACTTCAGTGCATACACGTAGTTACTTTGTTACTCATAAAATTTGAACACCAGTATCGATTTGTATATATCAAGTGTCAATCGATCGCATAATGCCAAGTGCGACATTGAACGTGTCATGTCTCGTAAGTGGTTACTTTTATCTAAATTATATTACAAAATTTATTTTATAATAATATATAAACTAATTATAATTTATTTAAAAAAAGCAATTATTTCTTCTGATATATATATATATATATATATATACATATACTTCCCATATAGCAGTAGAAATGAAAAAGGAATTTATATAATTAACAAACTTTTATAATTAGAAAATAGTCCGAATGAATTAGATTGTATAACTTTAAAATTATATTCTATAAAATTATTAATAATAAAAACTATATTTTATCCTTCTCAACTGAAAATCATTAAAAAAAGTATTTAAGTCTTAGTAATTAAGCATGATAAACAATTCTAAATTTCATATAACTTAATTGACATGTTCATAAATTAACAAATAAAACTATATTTTTTAATTAGATGTGTGGCTATCAATTAATTATAGTAAGTTCAATGTATTCCAGATAAACATATATTAAAGACGATAGTCGTATATTCCAATTTTATTAGAATAACTTCAATTGTACAAATAATAAGAACGGTTAATAAAATTTTGTAAAAATAAATCATATTTATCACATTCAACCGCAAGTAACTATAAAGATTTTATTTTTAAAGCTACCGATGGCGTCACTGAATTAAAAGACAACATGTAACAATAATATATTACAATATTTATCATTTTAACGTTTTTCATAAATATTATAAATGTGTTTTTAAATTTAAAGTATAAACTATTATAGTAGAAGTTATTTGTGGTTGGTTGCGATCCTATTTTCCGAATACAAAAAATAATAAAAATGTCAATTAACCAATATTTATAAAGAACTTTATCTATAATATAGTAAAATACAAATTTTAATGCGTAAATATAAATTATTTAAATTTTAATTGAAACAAAATTTCCAATTTACAAGTACAACCAATGTTATTTATTGAATAGTAAACAGGGAGAGAGAGAGAGAGAGAGAGAGAGAGAGAGAGAGAGAGAGAACAGAGGAACTTAATTGTAGCAAACCATAGTGCATTAGATCAGTACTATAGTATACTACAAGTTTTTACACAACATAATATAAACACTTATAGCACTTACATAAAAATCCGAAAACATGAAATATAACATTTGCTCGTCTCAAATAACAAAATAATTATTGATAAGTAAGTCGTAAATTACTTTATTCTATAAAACTGTCCACACTTCGGGAATTTAATAGTCAAAGATTACGCAATAATGTAAGTGATTTGTAACTGTGCATGCGCAGGACCTTTCTAATTCAAATCATGTATGCCACAAGTTTATTGATATTCAAATTGTCGCCGAAAACATTTATTATCAAATAAGATCACTATATGATTATTTGAATAAATCATTCACATGTATAAACACCGTTCAAAAGTAGTACTCAAACTATCAAGACAAATTAAAGAAATTTGTCAAATAATGACAAATGCTTTTCTTGAAATATATTATTGAAACCACCAGAAATAAATCAGTATAATTAAAAACGATTATAGCTTGAAAAATATAATTTATTTGGTTAAGAAAGAGTGGCATGTAACAAATCATTTTTACACGACACAAAATGAAAATTTTTAACGGCGAGAGATACATTTAGAAAGTGAAAATTATTTTTTTCATTTAGAATGAAACATTGAATAATTGTCTATTGCAATAATTAATTTTATAATTCTTTTTTGTATTGTATTTCATTGTAAATAAGAAAATATGAAAAATTATAATTAGACTGAATAATCATTAGATCGATAAAATATGAAACAAAAATAAAAAAATAAGTTTTCAATTTAATGTTAAATTTCTATTAAAACTAATGAGTTTTAATGAATTTTGTTTATTAAAATTATTAGTTAAAATAACGAGTTAATCCGTTCAATTGAATAAGAAGACTTAAAAGTTTACAGAAAGAAAAATTGTGAAACGGAATTAGTATATATATAAATGAATCCAAGTTTTTGCAAGACCAAAAGGAAACACACAAAATGATAAAACAAGCGTATATAAGAAAAGTATAAGAACACAGAAAAGTAAAGAAATAAAAGATATAAGAAATGAAATACGAAGTAATGATTAATAAAATACAATTCATACAGAAAGTAAAAATAAAAAATATATTACAAAAAAAATGTCATTACAAAAACAATCATATAAGAAAATTTTCAACCTTGGTATAAAGAAAATTAAAATAAAATTAATTGAAATTTAATACAATATTACTTTTGTCAATCACAGCTTACAATAACCTAAGTAATAAAATAGAGACAACAATTTTTATACCAAAGAATAATAAGTCAAGAATATAAAAAATAATAATTAGGAAATTTAAATTGTAGGGGAAAAATGTTCAAAATAATGAAAAAACAATAAAAAAAATATAAAAAGAAAAGAGGATAAATCCACAAAAATATATAAAGATTATATAAATTGATCGAATTTGAACTTCAATAAGGAAAGAAATAAAAAGAATCTATAGAAATGGAGAAAAGTAAATTTATAGTATATATAAGTAGAAAGTGTATAAATAATACTAAAGCAAACGATATTAACAATGCAATAGTAATTGTATTATTTTTTAACAACAAAATAATGAGCTCTAGAAAATTGGCGTGATGCAATTTTGAAAAAATGATTATTTCTATAATCAAAGTTATGTTCAAATCTTTCTTCTATTTTATTAAATTACTAATTGTTAATTATCTTAATTACGTTACCTACGCTATCATGAAACTTCAATTATTTGTATTATAGACTCTGATATTGATCCTAATTTTTATCTAAAAAAACTTCTCTTTATATTCAACGAAAATCAGTAGCAATGTTATTATTGAAGATATCTATTACAATAGAAGTTAGTATCAAAATAATCAATACAATTTTTTTAATACTCTCAAACAAGTTCGAAATAAATAAATTATCATATAAGCATGTAACAAAGTAGCAGTAAATTGCGTACAAAAAATAGAGGGAAAATAAAGTTACTAATTTCAGTAAGATAATTCTTTTTCTTAATAGGATATATAGTTAAGCATAATTTTACTGTGCAAATT